GCGACGTCTGTCAAGTATCGCTGGCTGACTCGCCGCGTGCGACGGCTGCGGCGTGACCTAGTTTCGACGGACGCGCGAAACGAAGCGCACCCAAAGCTCCTCTGTTCTTCACTCATCGTCTGCACCAAAAAAGCACTACCTCACATTGTCGTTACGACCTCTCGCCGAATATGAACGCAGCTTTAAGGGTCAGTTTCAAGAAACTTGCATCAGAATAGAACTTAAGAGCAGCCAGCATGCTAGCCAAAACATAGATGAAAGCATGTTTACCTTGTTTACTCACTTACTCGCTTTTGTTAATGACTTCCATTCTCTTAGTAAATCGCGAAAACGACACACGAAGTTAGAAACTTTATTTGCTACAGGCTTATTTGAACCTAGCCATGACTGTTTCGAATTTCGACGTAGAGTGCAAGTCAGTGGGTTTCGCTAAGAATGCGATTTCACGGGCTTTAAACCTGATAGACTGTAGAGGGCAATAAAAAAAGATGACCTCTTATCAGTATGGTTTTTTCTACGTCATTAGAAGGGATGACTAACACTCTTTATAATGAAAGTATTGAGACTGGTTGAATAATTTGCCAATGGGCTTAATGCCAATAGAACGGTATGACCATTCGCTTTAGCTAAGCTTTTTTCTAGAGAAAGATAAGGTGGTTAGGTCAGCAAAAATTCGTAATCTGTAACTGTAAGCTAGTACTTAACTGTTATCAAAGGTCAAAAAGTTTGATTGCCCTTATCAGAAGGGGGATTAAGTGTTGACGTAGGTGCGAAGCATCTCGGAAAGCGCTTATGTAAGCTGTTGGAATTAGGTCCAGGGAGGGACAGCTTTCGCCTTCGGGAAGATCGGCGCCACCCAAATAGAAAGCGATGTAAAACTTTTCACAGACTGACAGAAACAGTACTGTAACGATCAGATCAGCTTGGTTACCCCCTATGCAAGGGTTTTACACTCAAAAGAATCCTAGTGCATGTACGTGGCGCGTTCCGAATAAAGCAACTGCGAGTTTTGGCCCCTTGCTTAGTTCCAGATCCGATTTTTTCACAACACCACACCCAGGCACAAAGGGGAAGGAGCTAGAAAAGGAAAGAAACATGGAGACTACTCATTACGAGAGCAGCAACTGAAGTAATACAGTTTTATGTTCAAGACACTTTCACAAAAAAGTGGGTAAGACCTTTTGCAAGAGTGTTGTGCAGACCAATCGGAACTGTGGACAATTCTTATACAGCAGTGCAAAAGAGGCTTATCACGATAGCCATGGCGACGAAACATCTAAGAATCCCCGTCGTTATCAATTACGATAAGGACTGAGAACACGTCTCAGGTCGAAGAACCTTCGCCCGATCGTAAACGTACAGTACTAACACAGTATTAGAGGCAATAATAAATGGTGTTTTCTATGAGGTCAGGTGGTCGTAGGCCCAGGTCTATGACGAGGAACATTATTGGGCGTAGATTCTTCCAAAACAAAGCCCTTTTCAAGAAGGCCTTTTGTGATAGGTAGAGTTGAGGTGAATGATTTTTCAAATACAAAGCACTGCAGGTGAACTCCCATGTACCTTCTATTGAAAAAAAGACCCCTTACTTTCCGCTTGGTAGGGTCTAATACATGACCCAGTACGGCAGCGTTGTTTATATCACTGGGAAAAGCCTCTCGAATCTCTGAGCCATTATGCGCTATCAAACCAAAGAAGGCTTTGATTTACTGTGAAATATACAAAACTCAAAGCATGTAAGTATACCCAGAAGTTCGCACAAAGGTCCCCGAAACGTACTGCATCTCATTCAGACAAGCCTTGAAAGCCATGTAGACCTTGTTGTGCACAATTCTGTTTTTAACATGAACCTTCTTACCTCAAAAGGCTACGCTACCTCAGAAATTTTGTGATAGGAATAATTTAATTAGTCTAATTGTTTCTGACGAACTCTTGGATGATTGACAATAGCGCTAAATTCCTCATACAGCACCATGACCATAGACATTTGGTCGACAAGTCTCCTCCGAGTCGCCTTTTTCTCCTTCTGGAAATAAGGACTTTGTTCTTCAGCTTTACTATCGCTATTCCGCGATGACATCAGGTCGTGGTGGTTTACGATTGGTTTTAGGGCCATGAGTGGGGCGCTGCTGAGCTCGCATGATTTCTGGGTGTCAAAATATAAAAGATAAAGCGTAAGTGCAATGAGAATAAAAAGTTTTCTTTTTTTTACCAACAGAAGGAGGGACTGTAGGAAAAGGCTTACGTTGATAGGCCTCTGAGCTGCTGTTTTTATAAACTTCTTACTAATTTACTTGAAGGTAGAAGGGTCAAAAAAGGCTCACTTCGCCTTTGAACTTATGCTTGAGCTTTCGGTTAACGTAGGCTTAATTTCACTGGGACAGGGGAAACCGAAAATCTGATCCAACCACTGCCCTATGTTAGATCCGCAGACTGTCAGAAGATGGGTACAACCCCAAAAAGGTTTAGTGGCTTTCAACAACAAATGTTCTGTTCACCGAGGATAATATCGTATTCTGTTCTGTTCCTTTACCAGTTACTGTAGTGACAATACTGAGTAGTAAATCGTTCCCAATTATGCTCCCAGAGCCCTATTATCACTTTAAGCCTCACAGCCGCGAGGCCCCATCGATCATCTAGTTTTGATAAGTCGGCAGGTAGGCCTAGATGTCAGGTGCGAAGTATATCCCAGAGATAGTGGGCCTTAATGGGAGAGGCGGTCCTTTTCGTCCTTTTCGTGCCGTTCCAGCGTATTTAGAGGTGCCCAACCCTGTTTTAGTCACAGTATTCATCTGTACCACTTGTATTTGGCATCTACTCATCCTCTACCTTCTGAAAGTAATAATGGGATCTCGTGGAGGTGGCTTCTCTGTCTACGGTATGTTCTTTTGCCTTCTCTGCTATTCATTGGATCAATTGATATATGAAATTATGAATTTAACTTTGTTTTCATTAACTATATGTTACTATCGAAACTTCATTTCAGTTGGAAATCTCCCTTACCAGGCTACCGAGCAAGAGATCGGGGATTTCTTCAGCCAAGCTGGCCAAGTAACTAATGTCCGGTAAGTTTGAGGGCTTTTTTCTACCTTCAGGATTTCGAGGTGGTTCTTTGAAGTTGATGACTACCATTTACAGAATGGTCTTCGATCGTGAAACTGGTCGTGCCAAGGGCTTCGGTTTCTGCGAGTTTTCCGATGAGGCATCAGCCCACAACGCCATGAACAGATTCAACGGAGCCGATTTCAAAGGACGACAAATCCGTGTGAATCTTGCTAATAACAACTGATTTATCCCATTCCATGACTTTGTTTTGTAGATGTCCATATACAAAATAAATATCGAATTGCGTTTCATTCAGTGTGGTTTTTGACGAGGGTGAATCAATTTCAAAAGCATCGTTGTCTAAAGAAAACGAGTCGAGTCCTAAGAAGTATAGCAGGGTGTTGGAGAAACAGTGGAAGCTAGGGTAATCACAGCAGCAACTGGGGTAACCCTGAATACCAGTACTAGCAGCGGTTTGCTTTTGACAGTCTCATAGCATTACCCTAAGAGAGTCAAAAGCAAACGTTGCTCTTGGTTTCATGAAAAACATTGAAGTGGTAAGAGCGCTGAAGTTGTTTTCGAAGTAAGTTCTAAGTTACAAAAGTTGCTGATGGAATTAAGAATGAGAATGAGCGTAATCCTTGCTACTCAAGTTGGCTCAAAAACGTCTTACCGAATGGGCTAACAGGGTAAAAAATGTCTCTTTCGCTGATATGATTGAAATCTAGTTTGTCACGAGTGAAAAAATCGCCTGAGACAATGAGAGTGGTGAAAAACTTCAAATTCTCGCCCCTTAAGATGGTCTTCGCCTCCGAATTCTAAGAAGAATTTACCGAGTTACAATCAACAACAATCAACATTGTTGGTTACCCGAGGATTTTCCAGTTTTTCGGCAAGGTTTCTCGTATAGTTTTCATCAACGCTCTGATGAAGTCGTCAATCATTAGCGATGTAATAAAAGCGAGTTTTTCATGATACTTTTGCGATGTGGCTTACAAATATCACCAGGGTATCGCGATGAAGCGGTTTTCTCGCATCGACCTTAGCGAATACCGGTCGAGCGGGTTACATAATATCCTCGTGCGCTCATGATGAAATGATAAGTGTAAGGTGCTTGGCAACACTCCTGTCTTAAGACCTTCACTTTCACATGATCATTCCATTTTCTTATAATAAGCTCTTCCAGCAATCTCGTACATGACCAGAGGCACATTTCCCCATCGCAGAAGGCTTCGAAAATTTCGAACAATTGTTNNCTACCTTCTATACCTGAAAATAGGAAGCAGGTGATGTTCGTAATGGAAAAGCCAGGGTTGTAGCTATGCAGATGTAGGAACTAGTGAAAGAGAGCTTCATGAGTTTGGCCCACCCTAAAACCGTAGTTTAGGGTCTTACTGGTTAGGGATGACTGTAACATGTAAACCACAGAACGAAGTAGGGTCTCTCTGACGTTTCCCTTCCTTTTTCTCACTCTCCCAAATTCATCCCTTTACCCTCAGCTTTGGGCCCTGTAATCTAAGAGCGAGTTTAGCCAGAGAAAAGGGTAGCATGACATTCATCAGACCAATTTGTCTTCTATGGCGTCACACCTCTACAAAAAGCGATCGAATGGTCTCGGCAACGCAGCGGGAACCTGGACGAAACCTTCCTGTTCCACATTGGCTTTATAAGTGCCTCCGAGGTCTTTCCATCACCCCATGTGGAAGCGATATTTCTCTGTCTGATTCAGAGGTGATCTCGTGGCCATGTTTTACAACTTTGCTGTATAGAATTGCTTTGAAATTATCTTTAAACATTTAAAGAAAGCCTTGTCACCTTGATTGTGGAAGTCTGATTCCTAGAAGGCGTTAACAGTGAATTGAGGAGGGTCAGTATGTAACAAAGAGATTAGCGTGAAACTAATGAGCTGATAATACAATAAGTATGAGAATGTTGAAGATTTTTTCAAATAGAACTACTATAGCAAAATTACTTCGAGCAACTAGGCCCACTTCCCGTTCCCCTCTCTACCTGCCTACTTGTTGTTTCGTCTCTATGGTATGGTTGCTACTTTGTGTAGGAACTGCTTCTACTACTTGAGCCGGCATCTGTCAGTAGATCGTACTACTTGGAAGCAACTCTCTTGTATTGTACTCTTTACAGAAAAGCGTCAGAGCATCATAACTTGCTTTATGACATGGACGATGCCTCTCAGCTTATGAATCACGCGAAAACGTTTCTGATGTTTTTCTTCTTACGCTTCCAATGTTATCAAGGATTACAATTTATCATTGGGAGTCAGATATGCTTATCATTATGTCATTGTTCGATGAGTGGCCAGGATATTTCACAGTTATCTTCCGAGTTATATCACTGGGTGGCTAGGTTATAGGCAAAGTGTTTGACCACGAGTGGGCTCGAACTTATAATTACACTTTGCGGTATTTTTCTGGTGTCTCCGTGATCACGTATTACCGAAGCCAAGAGCTCACCGCAGATTACTTACTCAAACCTTTTACAGGATGAAGTATCTGCTGCTGTTGTCGTTCGTTTCATTGAGCAACACCTGCTGCGCCCCTGCATGTTGTTCATGTTGTATGGCCTTCCAACCACCTACAGTTATTGGATATCAAAGGGTTAGTTCTGAAACTATCGAATACTCATTTTTTTTACAGATTGAGCAGGAAGGATAGGGGACTACAGTATATAATAATTACCATGTTCGATTTTCGAGCAGCAGTAAC